AGGGGCTCGGTGGGGAGGGTGGGGACGGGCTGGGTAGAGAGAGGAGGGGAGTGTGGGGAGGGACTGGGTGGGGGGGCTGGGTGGGGGGTGGGAGGGGCTGGGTGGGGGTGGGAGGAGCTGGGTGGGGGGTGGGAGGGGTGGAGCTGGGTGGGGAGGGGCTGGTCACCCCGTGGTGCCCTTATAAAACTCAACGTTTAACCTACTCACGCCGGCTTGTGCCCGCCCTCACAGTCGGGGATATTTGCGGAATACACCACGCCGCCGTTGACCCTGGCCGTTGATCTACGTCCCTTTGGCCACGCCCCGGCGTATGTCCCGGGACATTTTCTTCATTGGTACCGGGGCTCCCGTGCCTCTGCTCCCCACCCGGCAGAGCCCAGCTGATGAGCGGCAAGGCAGTTGACAGCCTCTTTCTCATCGTGTGAGAGGTGCTTGACGTGCGCCCTAACCCCCTGGACCTGCCCTCGACTCTAGGAAACGAGAGTTATTATCTCTTGGTTACAGTTTATCATACGTAGCGAGTGCGATAGAGCCGTGCATATATAAGGGACGACATGCAATTCAGAACTTTAGCCATCTCATTTAATTGCATCTCGCGTGTGCCGTAACGGAACACCATTCGGCCATTGTGCCTAAATAAGAACATTTGCGATCGGCGAGTGTTACCACCCATGAGATAGATGGAAAACGTGGCCCCTGACCGAGAACATGGGTGCACAGATGAGACTTGCGCGGAGGCATGCGGAGGGACGCGTGCCCGTGGAGTTTTGCCAAGAGACGAGCCGAGTAAGCGAGCGAGCGAGCGAGCGCGTGGTGCATCACGGAATAATGCAAACTAGAAATGTCATTGACGTCGCTCGAGGGCCCGCCCGTGAGACTGGTGATGGAGTGGCAGCCAAAGTGACGGAATCCTCATCTCCCCGCAGCGCCGCCACTGCATCACGGTGCTGTGGTGAACATGCAGCGATGAGTTCAAGGTTCAACTCCTAGCCTCCTTCGCTCCATCACCAGCTCCACGGGAGGGGGGGGCGGGGGGTTGATGGGGGGTGCAGGGGGTGGTGTCACGAGCGAGCAGCTGCAGGGCTGCACCCGAGGAGTTCCATTCCTGTTCACGACCAACTGCGGTGCCGAACATTTGAGCTGGTCCTGGGCCTCCCCTAGGTCGACTCAGCATTAAATGAGTACCTGGCGTGGTGCATAAACATCACCACTGGGGAGACAGAAGTGGCTGTGCGCGGTGTTGGCCACTCACCATAACAACACTTGCCCCAACAGTCTGCCAGAAGGGGCGATCTTTGGCTTTGTGTGCACAAGCGCCCTTTGAGCCCGTGTATCCTGCATTGTGAGCGTGTGGCCATTCTGGTCTGTTTGTGTGTGTGATTGTGTTTGTGTACGCACGCAGCGGGCTGCACGTGTGGCTGTGTGCAGCCTCGCGTGCGTGTGTGCGTGTGTGTGCGTGCGTGTGTGTGTGTGCGTGTGTTTGTATCTGCAAGGGCTGTTGTACCCCCTGCGTAGTGGTGACGTGTCTGGGTAACCCGACCCAAGTCAGCACGCCGCTGGCGTGCTGACTTTAGCTCCGCACTGGCCGTCGAGGGGCCTCGCTGTTCAGTGAGCAGCACCTTAGCGAGCCTGCAATGGCGAGCATTCTCCGCCGCCTTTGTCTTTCCAGATAATAGAAATTGAGTACATTTGATGGTGCCGCTATTTTTCGTATAGTGCCGGGCTATCATAGCGGAGGAAGCTGCTACGATTCACAGTCTGCAGTAGATTCACGGTCGGGGGGCAGTGTTACTGTGTGCCATCCCAAGTGAGTCATTTGCAGTGTTTATGTTTGGATGATTTGGACCGTTATGCCTACCTACTCGTGCGAACGACATGAGGGCATCTGTAACATCCACTGTGAATCAGATGGAGAGTATTTTGATGGTTACCGCATCCGCGGTATTATTGTTAACCGCGGTGGCCTACTGGATTCGAACCGCGAAACCTCTGCAGCAAGCGGCGAACGTGCCTCCACCCCCCCTCACCCCGCGTCATCGCTCCAATCACGCTCACAAACCTTGTACTGGGCTTCCACTGCTCTCGGATGGGGGGGGGGGGCAATTGTGTGTGTTTGTGTATGTTGAACTTCTTTCGCACCCTACATAGCCAACCGTGCTAATCGTTGTGTGGGTGGACCACAGCACTGATTCACACCGCTGAGGAGGAACTTGGCTGGTGCCAAAGCGAAAGTTCGGTGGTGTAGAACCCACCCAGCCACAGCAGCAGCAGCAGCAGCTTCCTGGCGCGGGTCCAGCCTGGCACTCGTTTTAGGCTGAGTCGACCTCACGGAGTGCCGAGCCCGGCTCACGAGAGGGATCACCGCCGGCGTTGTGCGCCGACGGGAATCAAACCCTTCCCGCCGTTTGAACCGTAACCGAGGGCGCCAACTCCCGTGCAGTGGCAATCGTGTGTGTGGTGTGTGTGTAGTGTGGTGTGTGTGTGTAGTGTGTGTGTCGTGTGGTGTGTGTGTGTAGTGAGGGTGCGATGTGTGTGTGCGGTGTGTGTGTGGTGTAGTGTGTGTGCGGTGTTTGTGTGCGGTGTGCGGTGTGTGTGTGGTGTGTGTGTGTTGTGTGTGTGCGGTGCGTGTGCGGAGTGTTGTGTGTGTGTAGTGTGTGTGCAGTGTGTCTGTAGTGTGTGTGCGGTGTGTGTGTAGTGTGTGTGTGTGCACATGTACAGTACGCACACACGCTCGCTGCACACGGTTTAATCAATGACTTGATGATAAATGGGAGCCGCTTTTTTCTTTCTAACGAGTGGAAAAAGCAGCGGTGTCTGGGTGCGTGACCCCCCTCCACCCACCCCGGTGCGGGGCGCCGAGCGGTGGAATTCCGCACGGGGTCCCCCGGGGTTCGAGTGGCGTTACTCGGGCCGCGCTTGCAGCCGGCGCCGGCGGCGACGGTGTTTGAGAGTTTGTGTAATTGTGTAATTAATGCTCCTCCGACGGCCGTCTCGCAGATCAATGTTGATCTTGCGCTCTCACGCCCGCTTGCGCTCTTCATTTCTCACCGCCGCTCTCGCTCTCTCTCACGTCTGTTTGTCTTGCTGCGGTATTTCCCTCCTCCCGGGGCCGTCGGGGGCCGCTCGGCGTTGGTTGTTTTCACATCGGGGATAATAAATATGCGTGGCGCCTGCGACGGGAGGCGGAGGGGGGGGTCCCGCATCTCACTGGCTGGGTTGGGGGGGAACGTGCCTCGTCTCTCCGGGCTGCACGCTCACTCCGTGACCTCTGCGTGTGACGGACGGACGTCTCGTCCACAGGATCCCTCGCGCTCACCCTTTCCGTTCGCTTGACCTCCACAAAGGTTAAGGGTTATTAGATTGAGTCAATCCGTTACCCCTGGCACGCTTGCTAGGTTGCCTCCTCGCGTGGTTGATATGTTTGAACTTCTTTCGCACCGGACGTAGCCCACAGTGCTTATTGGAGGTGCAGGTGTAGAACAACAAAAGTAAAAGTGCCGCATGATTTTGACCGTGGCCACGCGTTGCTTCGCCCTCCCCGACGTTTGAATCCGGTTCGGTGAATGAGGGCAGCCTTGGGGATCGGTGCCGATCTTCCGAACACAGCGCTCCGTCCCACGTTCTCGCCCGAGGGCCCCCGTCTGCCGAAGACGCTTCGATCGAGGTGGCCGCGATGGAACGCGGTGTGCGCAAGCGGTGCGGTACCTTGCCAAGCCGAGCGTGGGGGTTTACTTCGACACACGACAGAGACATCGGCGTCATGTCAAGAGTTTCCCTGTGGACCGAGATGCCGGTAGCTGGGACACGAGTGCGCTCGTGCGCGGCGGTGACTCCGACTCCGAGCGGGAAGCGCGGGCGCAGACGAGCAGCGACGTGCGTTCCGAATATCACCCCACACACACCGATCAACCCACGCACTAATCTCAGCGCCGCCAATCGATTAAGAAGTGCTGATCGTTCCGCTCGGAACTCGAGGGAAAGTTGCGCAAAGTTGAGCAATGCACCGAAAATCAGCCAAAAATACTATTTCACCGTTCCAAAAAACGGAAATACGTTATTTTGAGAGGGCGTCACCTGACCTGGAGAGCGAGCAAAACTGTCGGATGGTGCTCGGAGTCGGTGCAGGCCGAATACACCCAGAGAGAGGGGCTCAGCGCTCGCTCCCGGAGGTTGTGAGTTCACATCTGGTTGGGGGTTGACTCGGCCCATAATCCCTTGGGGGTCATAAAAGCGACGCTTTTCCACAGAACATCAGTCTGTTGAGTATTTTAGGTCCCATCTTAGAACAGATCTGTGTTCGCTCGCGTACTCTCCGTCTGCGTGAGCTTTGTGCCTTTAACATTATTTTTATTTTCTTCAGTTTTACTTTTTAGGATTGGGTTATTTGATGCAAAGTGCTGTGAGGCCTTGTGTAAACGGCACTGCCTAAAATCAAGCTTTAGTTCGAGTAACACTTTGTGAGCAGTCAACAATGGTTGTCCCATAGATGAACTCGACTCCCCATAGCAATGTGGAATGTTCAGGGCCTCGAACGGTAGATGAGCACCAATGCCTCAATACTCGTCGGACGGAGAGGCACTCTTTATTTTTTTAATACGCCCATTCACGGATGACTCGATGGCAATGTTTTTCGAACCGTTGCTCCGCTGTGCACGTAGGGAGAGCTTTGTTTTTGCTCGTTCCGCTTTGAAGTCGAAAGGCGCAAGAGCCGCGGGGCATGTGAGACGTCGCCAGCGCCGCCGCCAGCCACTCGGACTCAGAGAAAATAACTTGTCTCTCGGTGACGCTCGCGTGACCACAGTGGGGAATGTGTGAACAACAGTTATTCTCTCTGGGTACAAACAAATAAACAAAAACGGCATCATGATGGGGATTGTTGGGTTGTTGTAATGGTGCATCTGTTGTTCGTGTGATGTCGTGGTTGTTATTGTCATGCAACGTGCACTGTTGTTGTTGTTGTGATGATGATGCAGCAGCATGTCTCGTGTTCCCCGCTTCAGTTTCGACGTGGAGAATGGCGTGTCGGGAGGCCGCAGCCCTCTGGACGCGCAGGCGAGCCCAGGCTCGGGCCTGGTGCTGCACTCGGCGATGCCGCACGGCGCGCGGCGCGAGAGCTTCCTCTACCGCTCCGACAGCGACTACGAGCTCTCGCCCAAGTCGGTGTCGCGCAACTCCTCCATCGCCAGCGACGTGTGAGTGGCGCGCACGCTCGCACGTGTGTGTACGCGTGTTAGCCGGATGATTCTTCTCGCTGTCTGCGCACATCCACCACCGTGGCACAAGGGGTGACCGGGCCTCTCGCTGCGAGCAGACCAGTGGCGCTGTTCTTGCCCTGATGGCGTTTGACGCAGTTTCAAACGACACGTCGCGTATCTAATTGCTAATAATAATAATCATTTACATTTCTAAAGCGCCTTTCGCCCAGAGAGAACAAGGTGCTGTACAAAACACAACACACGCAAGCTAACACCAATACAAATGATTCAAGAAATAGAAAATGCCCTTTAAAATATGTTGTGTCTTGAGGCGCGATTTCAATAAAATGAGAGAGTCATCGAAGCACATGTTCTGGGGGCCACGCGAGGTGAGGCCAGGTCGTCACCCCCTCGTCAAACACATAGGCCTGGTCACCCATCGTCGTACCAAGAGGCCAGGTCACCCCTCTTGCAGAGACGTGACCTCGGCACACACTGCGGGCCAGATTCAAAAGAGCAAAGTGCTCTTGCTGGAACACATGGGTTAAGCAGGCCCTCTATCTATGAGGGAGTAGCAACATTGAGAGCCGTTTAGGTGAGGAGAAGCATCTTGAACTCGACTCAAAACCGCACCGGCAGCCAGTGGAGAGATGCCACCATAGGGGGTCGTGTGCTCAGCAAGAGGCGTGCGCGTAAGAATTCTGGCAACCGCATTCCGCACTTGTTGTAGGTGGCTTGATGGTTTAAGGGAGATGCCAGAAAACAGCGAATTCCAAGAGTCAATTCGAGATAACGCAAAGGCATGAACCAGCTTCTCGTGTCTGATAGTTAATGGATTGGGGAGCAGCCTGGCTACATTCCTAAGATGAAAGAAAGGAAGCCTTGGTGACCTTGTTAATGTGTGCTTCGAAGGTTAATTAGGCATCGAGGACAAGTTTGAGACTGTGAACTGCCTGAGGAGCACCAATATTGTGGCTATTGATTGTCAGACCGACTGAACCGGCCTTGGATAGTTGGTGTGCGGAGACCCAACAAGCATCGCCTCCGTCTTACCAGAATTCAACTGAAGGAAATTGGATTGCATCCAAACCTTAATAGTCAAGAGAGAACTTGGCAGACTCGTCGCAAGATGCTCAAAGGGAAGATTTAGCCTGAATGTAAATGTGATTATCATCAGCATAACAATATAAGCTGAGGCAAAGTTTGCATGAAGTATGACCAAGTGGCATCATATCCGGCAAAAACTCTGTGTTCCGGTTTCGTTCGAGGGCGATGGCTGTCACTTTTTGGACACGTCGCCCCGTCTTGATGCGCAAACTCCAGCAGCAAATTGTTTCTCCCGTGCCCCTCCCTTTTCATGATCCGTGGATCAAACAAATCACTCGACGACGGTGCATGGCAGCGAAAGCAGTTTACGTGAATGCTATTGCAAGAGGTCACATGTTTGGCGGCACGGTCCTTCACCGACCATGCGTGATGAATTCATGAATGTTATCTGGCATCAATGGGGAATCGAGGGTGCCGGTTAATCAAATATGTTGGTTATCTGAGAGTTATATTTATGGTTCACCAAATTTTCAAATACATAAAACTTTTCAGGAATCAAACTAAGCCTACATTTAATTTCAACTATAATATAAAACAACAACATACTCTTTTACAGAGGTACTTACTGGTCAGTTGTAGAGCATTCTAATTTAATTGTAGAGAAACAGTGGGGCTGTTTAGAGTACAGTTCACAGTAGTACAGCATGTACAGGCTGCCGCTCAGAGCTACCATGAGAAGCGCACGACAAGATGCCAGATGGCTGTCAGAATTTTTCCGGATACTTGAAGGAAGATTTGTATTGCCGCCCATGACAGATGCCAGTTAAAAGAGCATTCCCGATGGTAAAGTGCCAGCTAACAGAGCAATCGCTCGATACACAAAGCAAGAGTGGGCCGAGGACTCTGAACCTTGAGGCATACCAAATGGAAACACAACATGGATCAGGATGTTGCCCTCCAAGGTTGACCAACTGCTTTCGATGGGAGAGGTAAGAAGTGAACCAGCGGAAGGCAATACCAGAAATCCCCATGTAGCCTTCCACAATGGTGAGATGTTAACTACCTCGCCTGGTATACAGGAGGTTGTGGGTTCGATTCCGATCCTGATGCCTGTATTTGGAGTTTGCGTGTTCTCCCCGTGGTCGTGTCGATTTTTCTCCGGGTCCTCCAGTTTTCCCCACCTCATTTAGAACCGACGTGCGTTTTAGAGTATTTGCCAGCTATACATTTCCACAAGATAAGTCACTTCGTTGAGCTATCATTTGTGGTAGCCAGGTCGCTTCTGAAAAGAGCTACACAGCTCAGTGGGCCATACCTGCTAAAATAAAAATAGTTTATAGTTTTGTTTAATTACTCGAGCAGGATGGGTTGATCGATATTGCCAGAGGTAGCACTGAAGTCCAAAACAACAAGAATGCCAGTCAGGCCTACATCTGGCTGTAGGAATTGGTCTCCAACTCACCAGTGAGTGAGCCAAAACATTCAGATTCAGCTCATTGGTAAGCGGTATGCGCGCGCAACGCTAACTTCATTCAGTTGTCAGGTGGTGGAGGGTCTTAACGACACAAATTTGGCCAGATCATAACGTGGCCCAACCCAAACATCCATTGCAAATTGTGGTGTAGTCGTGCGGTCAGCTGTGAATTGCTATTGCTGTTGCGTGAAAGCTGCGTGGCTACACTGACTACTCCATGTCCCCGCGGTTGTTGTGATCCTCTATTCGAGGAATTGTGGAGCCCGCACAGCAGGTGTTCCAGCATGGCTCCAAATATTTAGGTTGTCCTGTCTGCCGCCCATTATCTACGGCGGTAGTATTGTAGAACGAGCTCAACGGTTTTTGCTAAATATTTGCTCCCAGTTTTGTTTATTACGGCCGAGGCCTCATTGTCCGCGCAGGGTGGGAGCGTACCGTGTGCGCGCGTGTGTGTGTGTGTGGAGTGATCTCCTGCCCACATGAGCATTGAGGTTGGGGAGCGGTGGTGTAGCGGTTAGCGCGCTGCGCGACAAACCAGGCGACCCGAGTTCGATTCCCGTTCACGGCCAACACCAGTGACAATTATTTGAACAGCTGCTTGACCTCCCCTGGGTCGACTCAGCCTCAAATGAGTACCTGATGTGATGTGTAAACATCGCCACTCGGGAGACAATGGCGGTCGGGCGTGGTGCTGGCCACCCACCCCTTCATGTATTGTTCCGGCCTTTGTAGGTGTTCGCTCACAGCACATGCCCCAACAGCCTGTTAAGGCTTTACGGGGGATCTTTTTCTTTGTGTTGTGAATGAAAACCACAACACCGTTACGTTGAACCACAACAACAAAAACAAAATAACAACACAGTTACATTGTTGTTGAGTTTGTTTAGCAACTAAACATTGACTTCTATCAGCGATGGGCAGAGTGATTTTGATCAAGGCTAAAACACAATGGTGGTCTTTAGCGTTTTGTTAAAAAAAATTATTCTCGCAACTAAAAAGTCAAGTTTTTTTTATAATGATGTCGATTTGTAACGCACCGCTGCACAGTATTGCTCGCCCACCATCCCTTTCCCGGATCGATATTATAACTACCACTTCGTGGGGAAGTCATCAGTTGTGCTTCTATGGATAGACTCTCCCTGTCATAGCAACGTGGAATTTCCACCTCTGGCATGGGTATAAACAGGCGATGAGCACTACGTCAATGCTCATGTGGGCAGGAGATCGCTCTGACCTTGATACCTGAAGATGGATTTCACCTCTGGATTTGTAGTGCTGTCTCCAGTTCTGGCCACTTGTTATTGCTGCTGGTGTAGTGATCCTGCAATTCCAAGGATTATAAACAGGACTTCCCCCCTCCCACAACTTTCATAAATTAAATATTCTGTGTATTTTCTGATAAATATCAACGCAGTGCCAACTTCACATGTCTAAAGTTAGGCGATGGAAACTTTTGGCAAGGCGGCTCTTCCCTGCGTCCTCTCAGGCTCCAAGGAAGATGAGTCCATGGATGAGATTGGGGAGCAGAGGAGCGAGGGTGGCACGTTCCTGGTGGGGCGATCGGAGTGAGGAGTCGTGGAATGGGTGCCTGCTGTGGGGGAGAGGAAGAGTTCTTGGTGGTGCGCTCGAGTAATGTGATCGGTGACAAGGATGGCTACAATGTCGCAATGGGATAGATGACACCGAGTGTGTGTTATACGAGGGACCTTTGTCTTTGATACTGAGAATAGAGGAGGAGATTCAGTAACTAGAGACAGTCAGGAGCAAAGGTGAGAGGAGCAACGGTGGTGGGGAGTTGGGATGATGGTCCACGTGGATTTTGTGATCGTCGGCGACGATGACTGTGGCGTGGTTGACGAGTCCCAGTCTGGAAGCGGTGAATGAGCACCCACGCGCGTTGCCTCGACACCCGCCGACTGAGCAATCCGCGATGAGCACGGTGGCTCGAGCTCACTGCACCTGCCTGCCGCGTGCTGTTTCAGAGCCACGCGCGCGATGGAAACACCCCCATTGTTGGAGGTCTTGTAAACATCGCGCTATTACGCTGCGACACTGTCCATTTATTTACCCTGGAAGAATAGCAGTGGGTAATTCAAAGCCTACGTCAGTCGACTGCGGGATGGATCTCCCCATTTGTCAGTCGTGGCATTTGTTTGATCATACTTCATCGCGCTGGTCGATATGGGTTGGTGAAGGGGTGGGGGGGGGGAGCCAGGACAGGTTCAGATATCGCTCAACACCGACAGTGGCCGTGGCCAGAAATCGAACTTATACCACTAGGTTCACAGTGTGTGCCAACGACTTTGCCACCGCTCCCCGCCCTGCCCGTGAGAGAACACCACCTCTGGCTGACTCCAGCGGTGCAGGCGGAGTGATGGAGTGATATGAGCAGGTGATGACGCCGGGAGCCCGACTCTGTTAGAGCCATGGCCGTTGTCGCTCACGCGCGGGGAGCACCCAAAGCCGGCTGCGAGAGCCCTCAAC